AAACAAAGTCCAAACTAGTACAATTATCTCAGAACCATTTTTAATCTCTCCCTTCACCCACCATAACTTTTCTCTCATTTCCTACGTTTGTTTCCTTCTGCCTTCCATTCTATTGCTCATTTTATCTTTTCATCATCCACTTATCTTACTTTTCCTCTCTCTCTCATTATTACTCTCTCTTCCTCTCATTATGCTCATCAGGCATCTAATGAAGTTTAAATTAGATAGATAGATAGATAGATAGATAGATAGATAGATAGATAGATAGATAGATAGATGATCTATCTATCTATCTATCTATCTATCTATCTATCTATCTATCTATCTGATTCTGTTTTTTCCACTGCAACTCATCTGAGGAACTGGATTTTACTCACAAAATCATACCATTCTATATATTTTTGATAATCTGAAAGATGACACAGGACTTCTTGGAGCTTTTTAAGTTAGAACAGTTTGTTTTGTTGGTAACCCATAGCACTGAATTTCTGAATGCTCAGCTTAAGATTGTTAATAACATATGCATAGGAAGCATAAGGAAAGAATGTAAATCATGTTTGTTTGGATTGCTCATTAATAGTAGCTAGTTTTAAAACTGGAATGGAGCACAGGCATAACCACAGATGTTCCTGGACCACAGAGTCCAAGTATACGGAGGTCTGGCATGGGGCAGAAGTGCAGTGGGGGGAAGGAGGTGGCTGGGGACTCAGCCGGGAGCCCTGAGGGTGGGTGGCATAGCAGAGAGATCTGGCCCCAGCAGGGGGCTGTCAGCAGATGTGCAGCTCTGGCCCTGGCTGCGGAGCTCCAGTCCTGGCTGTGGAGCTCCATCCTGGTGGCACCCAGGAATCTCCAGCCCCAGCAGCAGCGGGGTCAGCGGCAGCTGGAGAGCTCCAGCCCAGGGAGTGATGGCTGCGCAGGCAGCAGTGGGGGTGGCTGGAGCCTTAACTGGGGCGGGAGGTGACAATGTTTTAGCATGGGCCAGGAGTGGAGAGACTTTTCCTGGTCTGGCAAATCCTCTCATTTGGGACTGGTCAGCTGCTGGACCAGGGAGATCCAACCTGTAGTTGGATTTTTTTAAAGGTATCTAAAATTCCAAAGAGTCACTTCTATGATACCATCCTGTGAGCCAATACAATTCCTCTTTCATGTTATTTCTTCCTCTGGTTCCTCCTGCCATCTCAGTTTCTATAGTTTAGACTTTATGCTCTTCAGGACAGACCATTCGGTATCTCTCAGCTGGGTTACCATATATCCTGTTTTGGTTTCCCAACCTTTTCCAGGTGGGGACCCATTTTGACAATTCAGGAAGTCTTGGTGACCCAAGGCAATTCAAAAACGGGGGAAGGAGGGAGGGCAGAGTCACCTGGGGAGACACTTGTCGACCCTTTTGGAATGTAATGGCTACCCATATCTGGGTCCTGACCCATAGGTTGGGAAACCCTGGGTTAGAACCATTCCTTTTTAAACCCTGCCCCAGCTGCCCTGACTTTTTTTTGGCAAAAGTGAGCATTTGTCCTGGTTGCTTCTGCCAACTTGATTAGTTGGGAAGAGCAGTTGAGATAAATGCCCACTTTTGTTTAAAAAAAAAGTAGGGTGCAGACGAATGAGTGGTGTGTGTGGGAGACACTTGTGGGGAGGCAAGGCTCCAGCAGGGGCCACAAAGAGCTTGAGCAAGCAGCAATGTCAGCCCCAGACTTTGGGAAATATGGCCATCCTATCTAGTAGGTACGTCGCTGCCTTCCTCCCATTGGGGAGGAGGGTTCAGGTGATTGGCTCGAGCTGGCCCTAGATGGGCAGGTAGTTGGGGAGCAGCAAAAGCCAAACCTGCATAGAGATGGGAAGTCCAGCCTCGTGGTGTGTCCTATTTTGCCTTTGGGAAATATGGTCACCCTGTTCTTCAGGGCTAAAGACGTTATCCCCACTTAACAAAAAACCCAGCAACCAAATAATTCCCCCTACACATTTAAAACATTTTAGGTTACATTTGGGACCTAACCACACCCCTTTTGCCAACTCCTACTTGGATGATTCTATGCTCCAGCATTAGATCAGGAACGAATAAGACATATAGATGGAAATGGGAGGAGATTTTCATAAAAGGAATCAAGGTCATGATCCAGCAGAAGAAGTAGAATGGGAATATTTTATAATAGCTGAAAATCACTCTGAGGGGGCAGAGCTGGTGGGGTGTGTACAGAGACCATATGCCCACACAGAGGCCGTACTCCTGCCCTCACTGAAGTCAACGGCAAGGCTGAAATTGACTTCACAAGGATTGAAATTTTTAATATCAGTCTCACAGCTCTAATCTGACTACTTTGTGTATGAAATGCAGAAAAAACCCTCTTGTTTCTTAGAAGTAAATGTTTTCTGGTCAACTGAATATTAAGTTCTTGAAATGATTGAAGTCAGAACCAATTCACACATTTATTTTTAGTAGATTGGCTGTGAATATTTCCTCTCATTTGAGCAAATGAGATATAAACCTCTCTGGGTAAACAAGAAGCCCCCACATTTTTAATTCAGTGCCATGCAGATAACAGATCCAGGCACTGCTTGTTTATTACACCGTCTGTTCTGATGATTTCTTGTCAGAGATAAAATTATCTTTTATACTGTGAGCATGAGGGATCACAAAAATTGATGCTTACCTGGTGCAGGTACCACCATTGTGACATGGATGATAATCACAGACAGGGACATTGCAGTTCTCAATGTTCCTTCCACTTAGGGCCTCATTGATGATATATAGTTCTTTGTCGTTTACTTGAAATTCTCTAATACAGCCTCTGTAGCCATGAATCTCCCCTGCATTCTGGTGGACCACAGCTTGAGTAGGGGGAACGTTTCCAAGGAAGATTGATCCAAAGGTGCTCTGCAGAGTCCCAAGAGAAACTGTCAACAAAAGGCTTTTTACAACTGTTTTCTGACTCTGCGATGTGTCTATGACTAATTAAGGAATAACAATATGATGCTCGTGACAGTACATGTGAATGATACAAGTTCATAAATTACTGTTAGATTATCATTAACCCCAAGTCTGCAAGGCACAAAGTGAATGAACTGGATCCTCAAAGAAATAGTGAATTGAGATGAATGCTAGATGGCTTTTGGGAATCTCTTTTGAAGGAAGGAGAAACATACCTGTCTGTAGAAGAGTATTGCACAATTAAACACACTATGTTGATTTTATGACTTTACTACCGGGCACTGGCAATTGTTTAGCTATATTGTGTTCATGTACAGTAAGGAGATACCTACAAGATGATCTTATGTCACTGTAAAAAACTCTTTTTCATAAACAGTTGCTTTTCAAAAGAAAAGTTAACATTTAATATTTAATAGTCCCTTCAAATGATCTGAACATGATTTGAACAGGAAGGAAAAAGGAATTCAGTGAAAAGGAGGGGAGGAAGCTGTAGTCATAAGAAACTTCAGTAATAAACTTACTTCAAAAGAGCCTCCGGTCCTTGTCCTACATTTTCACAATCAGTGACTAGTGATTTTGTATGACCTGAGGTTTCGGTGCACAACTAGAGACACTTTAAAAGGGGACTGACGTTTAGAAGCAGAGGGCACTGCACTTTCTAAAAATCAGGCTCCTTAAAAGATTCTCTGGTGGGGTTCCCAAAAATGGGGTCACTCCAAAATTATTAGTACGTTATTGAAATGTAGGGCCCTGTTTGAATATTGGTTTTATTGAAATATGACTAAACTATTTCAGAAAATATAAGAACTGAGCTGAAGAGTCACTGGTCACTCAAATTGAAGAGACAGAGAGTGTCACACAGAGAGAAGTCTCAGAGGAGTAGCTGTGCTAGTCTGTAACAAAAAAAACCCCCAATGGGTGAAGGTCATAGTCAGAAACTGGGTTGAATGAAGAGTTCCTGGGAAGAGGCAATTCAAAAGATGGGAGGCTTTGGATGATTCTGAGTCTTTTGAAATCTGTTTGTAACCAATTGAAATTTAAAAATAGAACAAAACCCCTAATGCTTATTGGACTGAATTTATTTCTTCAGTTGATTCTTATTCCATCTCACCTGTTTGCCAAATACATACTGCCCTCAGCTCACTGTCCATTTGACACCATACATATTATACCACTTCACACTCAATGAAAAATTCACAGAATTACTCTGCTTACATATTCATTCAGTTAAGAAAATAAGAATTTATAAGATCTCATCAGTACAGTTTATTTGTCATTGTATGGAGCACATGCATGCACAATGCCCACTATTACAAATGAAAGTACTTGCATAAATCAAAAGGAAAATAAATACACCACAATGTGTTTCAAAGGAAAATTTAATTTATTATTATATGCTTTTCAAGATGTCCATCACTATAGTATCTAAGTGCTAATAATGGTAAGAAACTAGGAAGACAAGAAGGGCAGGACCTCACTGAGTGATACCCAATTCATGCATCCTATAATTTTATTTTACTTCACCCTGTATTATTTTTATCACAACTTGGCTATGTTGACTATCTCAAGTGAAATGTGGATATTCAATAAACCATGAATACCTGCTGGTATTCCTCTGCCTATAGTGCCTTTCATTCAGAGAAGAATGGAAAAAATAAGTCTCCTGGAGCACAGTTAAAATTAAATTGGGTTTCTCATGTGAAAAGAGTTCAGAGACGTTAGCTTAGCACTTGTCAGCTTCATTCCATATCACAAGTCCCTTTCCCCGACAAAGACATAATTCAGCATAGTTTTGGACAAGTCTTTTAAAACATCATTTGCAGACAGACATTGTCTCCTTCTAGCAAGTCTCTTGTAAGAACTGAGCAAGGCATTTGGTTCTGGAAGGTAGGCAAGTACAATTTATAAAAGAAATGGAAAGATCCTGGCAATATGATAATATTTTTATGTTTTTATTGTGGTCATTTTGCAGGACCACTTTCCATATGGTCAGACACAGTGCACAATAAAATGGGCTCAGTACATTCTCTTCAGGGTCTCAGGTCAATCATTTAATCACCATATTGTAATCATTCAAATATAGGCCAGTTTAAGATAATACCTGCTTCTGCTGCGGGAAAGGTCCAATTGAGAGGCAAAATTGACCCAGCTGAGGAACATTTTTAAAGCAGAGTGCTGGTGGAATTCACATAAGTCTTGTTAATAACACAACATGATTAATGGAAGGACTTTTCAAACACTAACTTTAAGATGCTCCTCTCCCTTGGCAGTCTGAGAAGTGGGGAGTCACTGTCTGGGAAAGAAAACCCTTGGGCAATTTAAGGACAATACTCCTCCTTATGAGCACTAGTTTTCTTGAGGTCTTGAAGTGTAGACGTGAAGGGCTCTGTGGGTGTGTCGAAAGAGGGTATGCAAATTCTGTGAAAGTAGTTTAGACACAGCTTTTTCGACGAGCAACCCCCCCCCCGTTGAAGAGTCACGCAAACCTCATTTTTTGAAGGTTTTCTACAAGGGGGGCTTCGCCAAAAACGCCGTGTCTAAACTACTTTCACCTTCGAAAGCTCTGCTTTCAAAAATGCAATCAGAAGAAGATATGCAAATTCTCGCAGAATTTGCATATCCTCTTTCGACCATTCTCCATAGTCTAGATGAGTCTGTGGCTGAGGGGACAACACAAGCCTATTGGTTCATGTAAAGGGCTTTATAAGCTCTTTCCCCTGCTTGGAAATGGCATTCTGGGCCAGGAAAGACAATGTGGCAAGTTCCTCTGCTGCCTGTTACATGCAGCCCTGTGCCTGCCTGTTACATGCAGCTCTCTGTCCCTCACCAGCCCACAGCTATCCAAGGACTATTCGGATGACAATAGGATACTAACAAGGACAAGCTGAAAATCATCCCTAGAAGTGCAGTGACAACAGGACCCAGAACTTTTAGCTTGCAAGGGTGACCAGATGTCCCAGGATTATAGGGACAGTCCTTATATTTGAGGCTTTGTCTTATATAGGTACCTATTAGGTCCCCCCATCCTATTTTTCACATTTGTTATCTGGCCATCCTACAGGAATGGCATGAACCCTGCTTGCCTTATGGAGAAACAGAGGAGGAAGACAGTGAATTCATGTATATATATCTCTTCTGGGATTTCTCCTGGGTGGTGAGGGGGCAGGATAGTTGATACCTTGACTGTGCTCATTCCCACCTCCACCAAGCTGCAAAGGGCAGGAAGGAGAAATAAGGGAGCATCAGGAACTGGGTGGAATCACTGATTGGAGGGTAACCAGAGGGCCTCTACACTGTGAGCTTGTGAGGAGTCCCTGAAATTAAGGTGCTTATAAGGTTCCCCTAGGGCAAGCTTTGTGCAAATAGGCCCTGGTGGTTGCACAATGTTGCAGTGCACAATGTTGCAGTTCCTGGCTTCTGCCTTCTCCTAAGAAAGCTAGGAGCAGGACAGTAAGAAGGTGAGGAGAGTTAGGACCTTTCCCATGAGCTGAAATCGCTGATGTGTGTGTGTGTGTGTGTGTGTGTTTACGCATACATGTGCATGCATGAGTACACACACATAGGGATAGTTAAATAAGGGGAAAGTTAGTGATTGCCAATCCAGAAATTGCATATTGCATAACTTGAGTTATTCTGGGAAAATGATCCTGGCTGTTATTAGAGAAGGAAATATTAACAATCTGAGACTGTGGTAGAAGTTGGGAGAATAATCCAAACAGTTTACTGCTGTCCACTGGTGGCAGGAGCCCAGTGCAGGTAATCATTCAGGAGAAGTCCGGTTCCTTGGTAAACTAGAATTGGAAGTGGATCAGGAGAACAAATTTAAAAAAGGTGGGAATGTGGCTAGGCTCCTACAGTATGGAGACCGCCACTTTCTCACATATATTCAACCCTCCTCTGAATGGAAGGCAGTACTGTCTCATAAGAAAGGCTAAAATTAATACATAAATGGGCATTTTAAGTTAGTAAATTTTGCATGAGTAACTGAAAAAACAAGATAAATTAATAATAGTTAATACTGAGAATCTCCTATGAGAATAATGAGAGTATATGTTGGTGTAATGATTTTAGCAAGTGGATACATTTTGTATATGATATTTTGCAGGCTCACCTGAGATGCAGGATATGACACAAAAACTCTGTGTTGTACAGGAGGATTTCCATCTGCAGCCATTTTAATCATACAATAACCTCCAAGACTGCCAACAGGCAACATATAGCTGGAAGGAAACAGAAGATCTCATTATTGTTCAAGCTGTTGACAGCAGAGTGTTTGAACCTCACACAGCAAGGGCAGAGTGAAAAAGAAGCTTCTGCCTCCATCGAAGATGACCCTCTCTGGGCCATAACACCACCAGAAGTTTTCTGACTGTGTGGACTTAGAGAGATAAAAGATGTACGTGTCTTTTTAATGTCCTTCTTTTATATGCCTTACGACTGTTTCTGACTCCAGTGATTGAAATGCATATAGCAAAGACAGAGGAAGAAAAGATCTTTACATGTGTAAGTGGGTACTGATAAATTGTAAGTGCTAACTGTGGTTGACATATGGTCTCCTGAGTGTAGGGGATTGTTGGACAAGAAACATCAATGCTGAATGATGCTGAACTCCCTAGGTGGAAATTTCTCTTTCCTGGCCCACAGGGGAAAAGGAAATGGAATAAGAAATGAAAGGATGAATACCTCTGAGCAGCTAGATTACACTGTGATATAGTTATCGCTACTCAAGAAGCATGCTATTAATGTAACTCTGGTACTGAGCTTCAGAGATAAAGAAGAATATAAGGCTAAGGGAATTTGTGAAGTACATGTTAGGAACATTCAATAAGCTATTGAGAATTTTCAAGTATATTTTCTATGATCAAACGCTATGTACATTATCAATAATACAAATTCTTTCCTGTAAGATGACACTCATGTACATTAATTTTCACTCAAAAACTTATTATTACGATAATGACAGAATGTGAGAAAATTAGCTGTTAGCTTATTTAAAAGTAAGCTGTGTTCATTCAGCAGAAGCACCTTCCTCCCCCATTTGCATCCTGCTTGATCTTGAATTTTCATGCATTTTAAATGGAAAGAAAGTATGATGTATCCCTTTGAAATTATATAGTTTGGAAAGCATATTGAAGACTTACCAACTATGAAGCAAGGACAAATGTCAGTACTACTGAGCATGATTGAGTTTGCAGATTGAGACACTTAAAAATGAACAAAACCACCACATATTTCACAAAAGAATTCCTAAAAATCCTGAAACTACATCTCTTGTGATTTTAACACTTCCACTGCCAGAATTTCAGTTGCTAAATGAATAAATTAATGTGGAGGATGTCAATAGGCTGACTGAATGGTTTTAAACTTTGCAAGCTGTTATTCTCAAAGGGTGGGGGAGGTGGAGTGGTGCTGGGAGGAAAGCTCCATCTCCGGAGACTTGTGCTGTCCCACCTTCACACACCCCTGCTGCTGGGGTAGGAGGGAGGAATGGCTTCATAGGAGGTGGCTCCTGGGGTGTTTGGGGGGGCAAGGGAAGGGGAACAGGGCAGGCACCTCTAAAGAGCTCGGGCACTCCCTCTCTCATTCTCTGTTTTGTGTTTTTCTTTGTCTCTTTCTGCAGGTTGTGAGGGCCATCAACTTGATCCTGCTGTGGAGGGTCATCTGTCTGGGAGACCTGGACGTGACTACAGCTGGATTTGCTGCCCTGGGGTTCCCAAACTGCAGCAGAGCCATAGATAGGACCCACATCCCGTGTACCGGAACATCAAGCGGCCCAGTATATTAATCGAAAGGGCTAATTTTCAGTGGTGCTGTAGGCCCTTGTTGACCACTGGGGACAGGTGGTTGGGCAGGGCACACATGTCTTCAGGAATTCTAGTCAGTACAGGAAGCTGAAGGTGGGCACATTCTTCCCCTGCCATGACTTTGCAGTTGGGGATGTGCAGATTCTGTTGTGCATTGTGGGGGACGTGGCTTATCCCCTGATGTCGTGGCTGATGAAGCCACACTATGGAGTCACCAGACAGGATTCTATGCCACCTTTTTCTTTCAGTTGTTTACTCTAGTGTTCTTGCTTCTTGTTATAAGTCAGGATAATGTCAGTCTTTGTCATGTTCTCTGTCTGCTTGAGTCCTTCAGTTACATAGTCACACAGGAAAAGATGTGATCTTCCAGGAAGGGGAGTCTCATCCCATTGTGGCTTTTTAGGTCAAAACTAATGATATACATGTCACCTGGTAGCCAACAGTCAGTGCAGATCTTGGAACACAGACCTTATGTGCTTATGGAGAGAAACCTTCCTTGTCAAGTAGGCTGCTGCATTCTGCACCTGCTGCAGCATCTAAATGGATTTAAGGTGTAATCCACATTATAGTAATCCATATCTAGAGAACAAATGCTTAATTACAGCAACAAGTTCCATCAATACCATGCCAATGGAAAAATAGAACCACAATATTGGTAAGTCCAGTGCACACTGGCAATAATTCTAAGTGCAAGCAAATTAAGGACACAAAGAAATGAAGTGAGTCAAACAAGTCACTATAGCAAAAACAAGGTCAGTTAGCACACCACTTACAGAACTAGAAATGGCACCCCTGTCTCCTGCCTACCAGTCGAGTACTCTGTCCACTTGCCCACACATTACTTGAAAAATACTAATACCAGTTTCTTCAAATGTTAATATTTGTTACTTTCTCAATTACTATAAAACAAGTCATATTTGAAGTCTCTTTCTTTAGCTCTTTAAATGTATATTAATATAAGACTGACAGTTAGAACATATGGGGAGAGTGAATGCTTTTCACATTTAGATTACCACAAAATAACACAATAAATGGTTCAATTATGCTTTGAAAAGATGGAGACCATGGAAAGCTTCAGCCCAAAAGAGAACTGTCTTCAAAAATGATGAGTAACTGAAAAATGGGGACTGGTGTTGAAATTATGTCTCAATCTTCACTATTGCAATGGCAAACGGACCCAAAAGAGAAAATAACAGAACTCCTCTTGTCATTACCTACAGTCCACAACTCAGACCCCTCCAACGTATTATACACAATCTACAACCCATCTTGGAAAATGATCCCTCACTCTCAGAGGCCTTAGGAGAAAAAACTATTCCTGCTTACAGACAACCCCCTAACCTGAAACACATTCTTTCTGATAACCATGCCACACAACCACATCATAAACTTCCAAAAACCCAGCTCTGCAACTAGAAAAGATGCCAACTCTGCCCACATATCTACACTGACAAATTCATCACTGGAGCAAACAACATAAGCCACAAAATCAAAGGGTCATTTGGCTGCATATCTAGTAATTTGATCCATGCCATCAAATTCCAGCAGTGCCCCACTGCTATATATATTGGACAAACTGGACGATCTCTGCGGGAAAGAATCAATGGACACAAATTGGATATACGTAAAGGAAACACACAAAAGCCAGTTGGTGAACATTTCTACTTATCTAACCATACTTTAACAGACCTGCAGGTGGCTGTCTTGTCACAGGCCAGCTCCACAAGCCAAATATATAGGGAAGAATTAGAATCTCACTTTATGCAGAAATTCAATTCACATGCTAATGGACTCAGTCGTGATATGGGCTGGCTAGGACATTACCTACTTCATAACCACTGAGGTGCTAACAGCTCTTTGAGTGGTATCCTTCCTGTCTTAGCATCTATCTATTTACTTTGATCTACTTAGGTTTAAGTACCCATTCTCAAGATACTTCATGATGCTCTGTCTCACATACCTCCTTCATTTTTTATTTTTTATTTTTCTCCCCCCTCTCCTTCCCCTCTCCTATTTATTTCTAGTTTTCATATCCCCTACTCATAACTCTGGTCATCTGAAGAAATGGGCTGTGCCCACGAAAGCTCATGATACCATCTACATGTTTTGTTAGTCTATAAAGTGCTACCAGACCATTTGTTGTCTTTTTCGGTAACAGACTAACTCGGCTATCCCCTGAAGCTACTATAATATAGGCATACATACCATATATTTATAATTGTTTTTATAATTTAAGAGAAAAATTCATTAGAACTTTTCTGCAGTATTGCAGTATAACATGTGTGCTTAAACTGCTGCAAGGGGGGTTTAGGTTGTACATTAGGAAAAATTTCCTAACTGTCAGGGTGATTAAACACTGGAATAAGTTGTCTAAGGAGATTGTGGAATTTCCATCTCTGGAGATATTTAAGAGGAGGTTAGATAAATGTCTATCAGGGATAGTCTAGATGGTACTGGGTCCTGCCAGGAGGGCAGGGGACTGGACTTGATAACCTCTCGAGGTGCCTTCCAGTTCTAGTGTTCTATGATTCTATGTGTGCCTCCAAATACCTTTGCATCAGAGTATCATGAAATGATGTTGAAACATTTTCCGTACAACTCAGACAATAAATTAAGGCCCTAAATCTGCAGCTGCATGTGTGCAAGTGGATTCTTATGTGTATCTCATTGAAGGATTGGGGCCTAAATCATCACAACAGGAAAGAAGGCAAGTGATCTGATAGTGATGATGTGTTCTCTTGACATTTTATAGCTTTATTTTTCCAATTAACCTCATTGGCCTCATGTGAAGGACAGTGAAGAAGAAAGTGGCTAATCATCTCCACTTTTAAATTCTGAAGATTAAATTAGGTTTAGTTTTGAGTCTTCATGTCTTGTTTTGATTCTGAAGGTATTTCAGTGCATCTGCCTAATATACTTCTGTGAAATATTTCAAGTCAATTTAAATCTGGCATATTTTTCCCTCCAGAGACAGTGACACAAAAGTATGCAATTTGATTTGTAAGATATATGGGATTTATTTGTTAGACACATTAACTATTCTCTGTACCACACAAATGCTACACTTATAATGGAATGAAAAGCTTTACAGAATACTGGAGAAGTATAGTACAAGGTGCCTGCTGTACAATATACTTTTTTTTTCAAAAATATGTACAGTAGGTTTGGAGCCATGCATAGGCAGTACTTCTGTAAGCAGTACATGGCAGGTCTGGTGCTGTACAATACACACTTTCACAGGTTCAAAACATGAAAGTGTTTATTCCTTCTCTCTGAATTTAGCTATTCTTCAACTAATGACCCTGCTCTGTCTGTTGAGGACTTTGCATATGTTATTATTAAGATGAATAAACAAAGGGTTTCCTGAAGGGTTTATTTCTTTTCCAAAGACTCACGGATTTCATCAACAGATGCAA